GGCCCGGCTGCTCCGGGCTCAGCAGGTGAGTGTGAGTGAGTGAAGGCATGGGAAGGCCCGGCCCGGCTGCTCTGGGTTTCTCCCACCTAATACTTACCTTCTCTTGGGAGATGGAGACCAGCCTTTGCTGAACTCTTAGGGCCTCTGTGCTGTGAGGGTGATAAAAGGCTTGCTGAACACCTGGTTCTATCTGGGCAGAATCATTTCTAACTACAGAGGAAATTCCCATGCCAGCCTTTGATTCCTGAGACATTGAAAAAAGACGTCTAAACCCAGTTTGCATCCTGCCAACGCTGAGAAGTGAGGCTTGCCTTGCGCAGAGTGTGTGGGGAGCAGGAGCTTCTCGCCGCTTTCCGGAGCTGCTCGGGCAGCAGCTGGGGGTGGACGATGCCTAGGAGTTCGGTGGACCCGCACGCCTGGCACAAACCTTGTGGTGCCCTTTTTACTTTTAATTTTTATTTTATTGATTTCATTTTTTGGGGGACAGAGTCTCGCTCTGTCACCCAGGCTGGAGTGCGGTGGTGTGATCTCAGCTCACTGCTGCTTCCACCTCCCAGGTTCAAGTGATTCTCTTGCCTCAGCCTCCCGAGTAGCTGGGATGACAGGTGCCTGCCATCATGCCCAGCTAATGTTTATATTTTTAGTAGAGATGGGGTGTCACCATGTTGGCCTGGCCTTGAACTGCTGACCTCAGGTGATCCACCCACCTTGGCCCCCCAAAGTGCCAGGATTACAGGCGTGAGCCACTGAGCCTGGCCCATTTCAACATTATTAAGAATTTCAGGACAATGAGAGCGGGGCGTAACCCATGTCTGCAGACTGCCTGCCTGCCTGGGAAAACCGCGTGGACATTAGATATGATGAAGATTCTGCAAACACAGAAGCGCCGTGAGGGAAGAGCAGGAGGCTCTATTTGCGATGCGATTGTGAACTTTCCTTCTGTTGTTTGTTCCTTTATTCACTCATTGATTTCTTCACTCAGTTTGGTGCCTGCTGAACTGCGGGCTTCTGAGTGCCCAGAGACCTTTAAGAAGCTGTAGCTTGCACAATTACTCGCACATGGACCCAATGAGGAAGGCAGGTGGGAGGATTGAAGTCAGCTGGTGGGATCCTGGGTTTCTGCTTTTCAGTCATCCTTATTCTAATATCTGCGTGGGCACAGGGGAGCAGGGTGTGGGCAGAAGCAGCAGGTGAGAGGTGTGGGGAGAGGAGGCTGGAGGGAGGCTGTGGGTGTGGAGGGGAGGCTGGAGGGAGGCTGTGGGTGTGGAGGGGAGGCTGGAGGGAGGCTATGGGTGTGGAGGGAGGCTGGAGGGAGGCTGTGGGTGTGGAATGAGGCTGGAGGGAGGCTGTGGGTGTG